TGTCAATTGCTTTGACGTTCTAGGCACAAATTTTCGAGAGCCTTTATCAAAATTTCTAGCAATAAATATTTTAAAACAATTGAATGTTTCTGTTGACAAGATCACATTTTGGAAAAGCATTATCGATTAAAGGCCTTAAAACTGGTTTCGTCCAACGAGAACAAGTCCCACATCGCCTCCAACTGCAACACTTCCGGCGTCAACAGTGTCTCTGTGAAAATAAGAGCAATCATTTCAATTAAATTTGGTCAATTTTCGGTAGGAGACATGAAACAATGGAAGAAGAATAAGGAAATGGCGTGAATTTTATGGTGTAAATTGTATTTTACACTTGACTTGGAATGACATGAAATGTTTAAAAATATCTGAAGTATCTTACCCAGCGACCGGACTGTCGGAATGGATTGAAGCAACAGCGACCTTCAATTTTTGAGGCACTCCACTGAGGTTGGCGTTCAAGTCAACGGTTTTCTTCTTGTCTCCCAAATTCAACACAACAACAATAATGTCGGCGGTGGGATTGCTTTTGATTGCTCTTTTGTACGCGAGTACATCTTCATCGACGGCATTAATTTCGAGCTCACCATATTTGAGCGTTTGACCTTGACGAAGTGCCGTTAATCCACGGAACACTTTCAAATGGCTGATTTCTTGTGATTCTTGAAATTTAATGTTACAATCGGTGTAGTTATCTGCCATTGGCAACCAAGTTTTGTCGGCTGTACTGAAACCAGCATTCTTGCTATCGTCCCATTGGAATGGGGTACGTGCAGGATCACGTGAATGATCATGATAAATTTCCGGGTTTGTACGACAAGCCTGTGGATCTTGAGTGTCTTCCCATGAAATCATCACGTCAGTCATACCGATTTCCTCACCCTAGATTGGAAAAAAGTGCAAAAAAATCGAACAAAACTTTTAAAAAATCGTCAATTTCAAACAAATTTAAAGGGAAAACATCACAAAGACACGTCATTCACATTTGAATTTGTTGATTTTTGATTTTCATCAACAAAATAACGAATTTTGAACGAATGAAAACCAAAAATCAATGTTTTAAGCTTTAACTCACATAGAAGGTCACGGTGATTCCAGGCAATGTTTTCAGCAAAATATTCAACAAGTCAATTCGTGTTGGACTGTATCTCGAACCCACTCGCTTTTGGTCATGATTTCCAATCTGAAAATAATAAATGGAGTGCGAATTTCAGTTGAAGTGCCTTAACTACTCATGAATTGTCATTGAAACCATGTCTCATTCAATATTTTGAATATTCTCAATCAATTCCTGAACAAAGAAACATTTTTTTTCAACGAAAATTTTTAGTACTGAAAGGAGTGTCCACTTACCACCCAGTTAGCGTGGATGCCTTTGCCTGGTGGCATACCTTCGATCCAATCGACAATGTGTTCTTTGAATTCAGGAGCTTTAGTGTATTTGTTGGTTCTCGTAATCATATCGAAGTTGAATGGAATTTGTGATCCATAGCGAACAATTTTACCATTCTCCACTTTGCCATAGTATCTCAGATTGTTTTTCAGTGATGTATAAGCTTCAGTCATCAAAATTCTGTGGAAAAAGATATGAAAATTGATGAAATTTATGGACATTTGGTCTAGTGTAATTTAAATTTTTTTCTGTTCCAAAAGCTTCCTGGAAAATCAACGTTCTATTCGAAAAAAAAAAATCTCCCAAAGTCTTTTCTTAAGCTTACCTCGTATCGCTAGAGAATTCTTCTTCATCCATAACTTCGCGCCATTGATAGATCATGTCATAAGTTTCGTCTAGATCTTGTGTTTTTGTGTGATTCAGTGAACAGGAAGCCTGTGGGTCGTCTTGGCACTCACTGCTTTTCTCTTCATCGTCATAGAGTCCATCTTCATTTTCATCGACTTCAAAGAGATTTGGAACGGTATCGCATCGGAAGCCACTGACACCTTTTCGCAGCCAAAATCGTAAAACATCTTTCATTTCGTTAACAACGTCTGGATTACGGTAATTCTTTGGTTTGTAAAAATGTAAATGAAAACAAATTATTCGACTGAACACCTGCACCATTTGTACATGTTTCAATAGTCACTGTTGATTTCTTACCAAATCAGGTTGTTCTTCAAGGAATTGATGCAAATAATATTGTTGTCTGGTTTCATGCCATTGCCATGCGCTGCCACGGAAAATGCTGAGCCAATTGCTTGGTGGTACTCGTGTTCCATTTTCGAGTACTTTTCCACTGTTCCAAATGTAAAAGTCTTTGTACTTTTCATGATCGACATGCTTTGGATCAGCCGAAGCCTTGAACCATTCGTGCAAATCGGAACTGTGATTCGGCACAAAGTCCAGAATGATCTTGAGGTTCAATTCCTTTGCACGGGCCGTTAAGCGTTCGAAGTCTTCAATCGTACCGAAAATTGGATCAATGTCACGGAAATCGGAAATGTCATAACCAAAATCTTTCATTGGACTTTTGAAGATTGGCGACAACCACACGCCAGTAACGTTGATGGTTTTTAAGTATGCCAAATTATCGATGATTCCTTTCAAATCACCAACACCATCGCCATTGCCATCTTTGAACGAACGTGGGTAAATCTGATAGAAATGACCATACTCCCACCAATCGTCACCAGTATCTAGGACACGACCAGATACACAGCATATCGCCAACGCGACAAAGGAGAGTAGAAGTCTCATTTCGAGGGAATTTTAAGTTTCTAACGAATTTCTATTATAAAAACTGTGACTTAAGAACGAAGCTTTTTCGAACCTTTTAACTAATTTTCTGTTTTTCAAAATCTTTTCGAAAAAAAGTAGTTTCTCTTAGCCAATGCTCTGGACTGAGCTTCAACGGTGACTGAACTAATCGAAGAAGACCAGATGTATTTATATCAAATGCGCCACTTGATGGAAACGGCAATTATAAATCGATTTCATCGATTGTCAAGGCACTTCAGATAAGACTGTAATTTGCAAGCAAAGAATGCCGTTTATTGTGCTGTTAAGCGTGGCAATGAAAATAACTTAATTACAAAAAAAAAGTACTTTCTCGCACATCAGCTGTGTCTAAATTGTTTGTTTGATAATGAACTTGTAATAACAGGTTTGATGAATAAAACGAAATTAAAGGAGTCAATAAATTATTTCCGCTATCGAACTGATAACATTGAAGAAAAGAAATACCTCATGTGTACTATTTGATGACGCAAATAGTTTCCACTTCAGTTTTTTTTCTTCCGAATTCGGAATATTTTTCAATGGAATTTGTCATTGGCAGTGAATCATTTTTCGATTGTTTTCAAACAAAGAGATGATTTTTTTTCTATTCAATTGTTTTGATTGATGCAATTAATTGTATTTACCAGGTGTATAAACTTTGTCGTCAGCTTAATCACTGTTAGACAAATATGTTGGGCATAATAAATCAAACAATGGCGTTCGATTTTGATTATAATCAAAATAAAAACCGAAGAATAATTATTCTTTTTTTCGTTCATTCATAGTTATTGAATGATGTACAACTAACGATTAGTTTGCATTGTTAGTAAATTTACGGACAACAAGAGGTAAATAAAGGGGGACAATCACTTCCTCATTGATCAATAGTGGGCACGCGTGCAGCGATATACGCCAGAAAATGATTGGCTTTTTCAGCCGCAAATTGACACAATTTTATGAACTGATTTTTGTAGATTAAAACCAAAACCCTATCGAGCTAGCGAAACAATTGTTTCGTGCAACAACAATGTTTGAATCAATAATTGGGTATTTTAATCAACAAAAAATCAATTGATATAAAACTGACACACGTGTTTACCACCACAAGTTGCAACTCATTGCCATACGATTTGAAGTATTCCATCTGAAAAAAAAAATGCCATCCATTCATTATTACAGACAAAATCGCGCGATAAAATTCCCGGTATTTTGATTAAAATAAAAAAAAATTGTCTAAAAATTTAGACAATCAAAATTGCAACGCAGACGAATTCCTCAAATTTTCCTTTCAAGTGATGTGCTATTTCAGGTAAGAGTCTTACACTGAGAGCTTTGTGCTCTCAATTTTGAAGATAATGAACAATATAAAATACCGTTGCCCACTTTTACTTTTCCGTACACAACGTGTCAAGGGAAAGTATAGGAATTGGTCCCGAATTTTTTTTCTCGCAAAATTAGCTTAGATCATCATAAAAACTCATGAAACGCGTAGAAAACCACTTTTTGAGATACTTTTCCGTTCGTGTGCCGTCGTTGTCGTTGTCGTCGTTGTCGTCGTTGGTGTTTGTTAACACGTACAGCGATAATTTGTGACTACGAAATCGGTTAACTTTTCAATTCTATGGGCGCTGCCATGTTGAAAATTTACGTGCGATATGGTGTACGCACTCAATAGTTCCACTTATTTCAATAAGGAATCTCTATAGGTGGCGCTGCCACATCGTCATTGACATCGAGTCGAATATTGTCAAATATAATAACATTGTTTATATAGGCTTTTATCGCAGTACGTGTTAACACGATAACTCAAAAAATAATTGAGATAATCAAAATCTGGAAATGCCAAAAGTTTTGTATTCAAAAAACTTAGTTTAAGTTCGAAGATGAGCCATTTTCGATTTGATTTCGGGGTACTTGCCCTAAGAAAAACCTCAAAAAATTGACACTTTTGTATGGGAGGTACCTGTAAATCGACTCCGATTGGCTTCAAACTTTCTGAGAATTCATTTTTTGGGAGAAAAATAAGATTCTGAAAGTTTGAAACCAATCGGAATCGATTTACGGGTACCTCCCATACAAATTTTTTGAAATTTTGACTAAAATTACCGATTTTTGGACAATTTTGTATGGGAGGTACCCGTCAATCGATTCTGATTGGCTTCAAACTTTCTGAAGTTTCATTTTTTGGAGAAAAAATAAGATTCTGAAAGTTTCATGTTGATCGCATTTGCAGAAGTTTGATTTTTAGTCCTCAATTTTTGTCGAAATTTTCTTGGAAAAAATTGAGGGCCAAAAACCAAACTTCTGCAAATGCGATCAACATGAAACTTTCAGAATCATAGTTTTTCTACGAAAAATGTAACCACAGAAAGTTTAAAGCCAATAAGAATCGGTTTACGGGTACCTCTCATACAAAATTGTTGAAGTTTTAGTTAAAGTCACCGATTTTTCACTTTATTTTCATTATTATATTTTCACTGCCTTCATCTCAAGAAAATTCACAAAAAATAACCAAAAGTTCATACGGACAACGCAGGCCAACGCTACGGAAAAGTTCGGGATTACCAATGTAATTCTTTTTATTTCAGAACAATTTGACTGCTTGTGTGTGATGTGCAAACAGTTTACTTTCCCGCGAATAAAAACTTTTTATGACTCCTTTCTCTATCGCGAAATTTTTTTTGTTGGCCCATTACACAATTTGTGACGCACAATTTTATTCGTTGGGTCAAATTCAAGTCACCTTGGTACAAAATAACTCGAAACGAATTACTAACACTTTGCAAAATGGCAGATAATATTGAACAATGAAATTTTGCTATCTGCGATTAGTTTCAAAAAAAAGAAGTCCAAAAAAAAAACAAAGAATCATTCCACACATTTTTTGAAATTTTTTTTAAAACGATCAATGTTTTAGACGATGTTTATGTTTTTCTAATTTGACTCGTTTAGTTTTCGATTCATTTGGATTGTGAGTGGATCAATCTGCCATGGCACTTTTTATTCATTTTCATTTCTCAGTGCTTTGAAATTCGCTTCCACATCCACACATTTGCGTTTTCATTTGAATTCTTTTCACCAATTTACTGTCTTAGTGCCGGGAAAATTTATTGGATAATGCGACTCTGATACTCTTTCAATGAATAAAGTAGTGGCTTGAGGTGGTGTGTCGATCTTTTTGTTGGATTAATCATGCAATTCTGAAAAAAAGACTTTGTCTTAGAAAAAATCGCTCAATAGAGCAATCGGCAAGAGAGTTCTTATTGCATGAGTTGAAGCAGTCACTTCTGTTGACTTGCGTAGTATGTGACCGCACTGTTAATGGAAATGTTTCGACTGTACAATTAATCGATTATTTTGTGACATAGTCGAATGGCTAAAAGTGATTATCCAGTACAAAAACTATGATCATTGTTAATTGCAATCAAAAGTTGACTACAGTTAAACGCCCCAAATTAAGCGAAAATTTTTCATACAAAAATTCTGCTCAGTTAACTAAAGTCGCTTATTAGTCATCTGTTTTCCACTTAAAATCCAATAAAAAATGACAATAGAGAAGTGTCTGAAATGAAGCACAACATGAAATGTATTTCCTAAAAACGCAACATGAATCATCGCTTCAATAGAAATTCACTCATAATGAAATGTAAATTTTGAATGTGGGAATGTTGTGTTTTTCGTAAAAATGATAAGAGAAATGAGTTAGTGTGTTCAGCAAAGATTTAAGACTTGACCATTTCTATAATCATGTTGAAGATAAAATGAGTAGTTTGAAGCGAAAATGTAATACAGAAAAGTTGCGTGGAAAAATTTTATTATTACATTTTATTTATTACATTTTCGCTCCAAACTACCCAAATTTCGTTATCTTTTATCTTTTCCATTTCATCATGGTGGGTTTCTATTGAAGCGACGATTCATGTTATGTTCTTAAGAAACAAATTTCATGTTGCGCTTTAGTTCAAACACTACTTCTGTGTTCCCATTTTCTTATTATTATCAACAACACAATTTGAATGATTAATAATCAGTGATTATTAGTCAGTGAATGTCAACCACTCATATGAAATTCAATCGAAGTGAAAATGGGATAGAGTCGATCATACAATGAAGAAAAGCCAGAGCACTCTTTAATATAAAAAAAAAGATTTTCCTTAGAAACTTATTGAATTTCTTTATTTGCTTATATTCGAATATAAAAATTAAGATTCTGCCATTTGAAAGTTTTACATAAAATATCTTGAATTGTTTTGTCCAACGAGAACAATGCCGACTTCCGATGGTACTTTGAGGTTGTTGGTTTCCACAGAATCGCTGTAAGAAAATGAAAACGTTGAACAGTTTTTTTTGTGCATGAAATTGAAAAAAAAAATTGATGCAACATTTGAATTTGGTTTAAAATGTTACCCAGGATTGATAGTTGTAGAGTGGATTGAAACAACGGACACTGTCATTTTCTCAGGCAATGCACTAAGATAATATGTCAAATCAAAATATTTATCAATTGTTCCCAAGTTCAATACAACAGCGATCACATCAGCGGTAGCGTCACCTGCAATTTGTCTTTTGTACACGAGTACATCTTCATCGACAGCTGCAAGCTGTAGCCCGCCATACTTCAAAGTTTTCGTCCTTCTGAGTTTTCCCAATTCAATAACATTTTTCAAAAAGCTACGATCCAAGTTCCTCTGCAACTCAACGTTACACTCGGTGAAATTGTCGGCAACTGGAAGCCAAGTTAGTGAAGCCGAACTGAAGCCAGCATTTTGACTGCTGTCCCATTGCATTGGCGTACGGGCCACCTCACGCTTGTCACCCGACGGAATGAGCACATCCGTCATTCCGATCTCTTCACCCTTTTGGCCGAAACGGATTTTCGTTAGAAAAATCTTAGAGTGAAGAAAAATGTTCAGTGAACGTTGTTCACATTACACTTACATAGTATGTGACCGTAATACCAGGCAATGTCTTCAGCAAAATGTTGAACAGATCAGTTCGTGAAGGCTTATATCTCGTTGCAAGTCGACTACCGTCGTGGTTTCCAAGCTAGAATATGATATTTGATGAATATTTTCATTACGGATATGAGGGTGATGGATTGAAAATGAGTTATTTTATGCCGTAAAGTAGTTCTGCACCTAAAAAAGTCGTATTCGATTATTTTGACGGTTAGCTTTATACCCAGTATACAAAAAAGTAATCAAATTTCTTTCCCTCTTCCACTCGTTCGTAAACATACACATACTACCCACAGGAATAAGCCGAAAACTGCGGTTCACAAACCGCACCCACAAATGAGTAAAGGCACGGACAAACTTGTAGGCAATACAGCGACCGCGCGCTTGTGTTCAGTTTGTGCATATGTACGAATGACTAGGAGAGCGAAAGAAATTTAGGTTTACTCTTTTAAAGCAGTCGGTATATATAGATAAGCACCGAAATATTGGTGCAACTATTTTTAGGCGCAGCATTACTTTCGGGGAATATGAATATAGTTCGACATGTGTAGAGATAGTGAATTTATTTGGGTCAGGAAAATTGAGGAGTTTGACCACTTTTCTCTGGTCAGAAAGAAAAACATAGAGGGAGAGAATTTTTGCTGCAGGAGCAAAAATATACAAACACCTTCATGTGCCCATGTTCGATTGAAATCATGTTGCTGATGAAAAAAATGATTGAAATTGGCCCTAGAACTGAAAAACGCACTTACCACCCAATTGGCATGAATTCCATTTCCTTTTGGTAGATTCAAAAGCCAAGTTTCAATATATTTTATGTATCCATAGCTTCCGGTTTCCATCCACGTGTTTGACATCAACCTAAAGGGCAATAAAAATCATTAAGAAAACTTGAAAAATAGCTGAAAGATCCAACTAATAAATAACTTACTCGAAATTGAATGGCATTTGAGCTCCATATTCAACGATTTCTCCGTTTTCGACTCGCCCATAATATCTCAAAGCAAGCTCCAATGGTGAGTATGCTTCGGCCATCAAGATTCTAGAAACATTTTTATGAATTTTTTTTGATTCGGATTAAAGAAATTTTTCCATTTGATACAAATTTTATGTAAAATCATTATCGTTTATCAACAAAGACAAATGCAGTATCGTAAATAAAACTCTTGGAAGAAACAAAAATCGCCCTAGCTCTTTATTAAACTAATTGTATACCATCAATTGACAAGAATTGCGTCATTGTCACTACTTTGTAAATAAGTAGGTAAGTAGTACTTACCGTGTTTGATTGGAAAATTCATCTTCGTCCAGAACTCGTCTCCATTCATACACCAGATCAAATGTTTCGTTCAAGTCATGGGTGTGAATGTGATTGAGATAGCAATATTCATCGGGTTCACAGCGGTCAGCGCCACTCAACGGTTCATCATCATAAACGCCATCGGCATTTTCCTCTGATTCATACAAATGTGGTACGGCATCAATGCGAAAGCCGCTGACTCCTTTTCTCAGCCAATAACGCAAAATTTCTTTCATTTCTTCGTGAACGGCTGGGTTTCGGAAGTTCTGCGGTTGGAAAAAGTAGAAACAAATTATTAATTACCATCTCACTCAGTGAGTCGATCTCATTATTATTTAAAATTGTTGCTATTCTCTTACCAAATCTGGTTGTGCTGGCAAGAACTGATGATAGTAATACTGTTGTCTTGATTCAACCCATGTCCAGGCACTTCCGGTAAATACGCTGAGCCAATTGCTTGGTGGTGATCTTGTGCCATCTGGCAGCAGCTTTCCATTATTCCACACATAGAAATCCTTGTATTTTTCAAAATCTGGATCGTTTGGATTGCATGACTTCTTAAACCATTCATGTTGATCAGAGCTGTGATTTGGTACGAAATCCAAAATAATCTTGATGTCCAATTCCCTTGAACGAGCCATTAGATGTTCAAAGTCGTCAAGTGTGCCGAATATTGGGTCAATATTACGAAAATCGGAAATGTCATAGCCGGTATCTTTCATTGGTGATTTAAAAATTGGCGACAACCACACTCCAGTCACGTCAATAGTTTTTAGGTATGAAAGATTTTCGATGATTCCCTTCAAATCACCAGTACCATCACCATTGCCATCCTTAAACGAACGTGGATAAATCTGATAGAAATGGCCATACTCCCACCAATCATCAACCATTTTTAGAATACGACCCGAAACTGAACATATCGCCAACACGATGAATGTGAATAGAAGTTTCATTTAGATGAATTTTGATGTTTTACGAAAAAAAAAATTTTTTTTCATTAGAACTAACTGTGTAATTTAAAAACCGTTTTAACTTTTCAACTAATGCTATGTTATTTTCACACCAAAGCCTCGCTTGTGACTGCATTGATGAGAAAAACATGGTTCTGGTATTTATATTGAATACTGCAGTTGAAAAAATGCAGCAATTGAAACAAAGCGGCAATTATTAATCGATTTGATAGATGGGTCAACCTTGAAGATAATACTTTTATCGTTATTATTAAACGTCGTGTCATGCGATTTATTGCATTCAATTAGTAAATGCAATGACAACATCTTGATTACAAAAAGAAAAAAAACTTTTTTCGAGTCGATTGTTTACCTGTTCATTGAACTGTGTTCAATACGTTGTACCTTGAGAACATGAAAAAATAGAAGGATTAATAATAGCACAGTTCTGCAGCAAATTGATAACATCACAAAGGGCAACACATTTCCTGGTCGCCGATGAAGCAAATTTAAAAGGCTCAATTTTGATTTTTACATGTTTGTTTTTAGAACCATAAACAATTATTCGTCGCATTCACATAGTGACAAACCATTTTGTCATTGGATCAAAATAAAATTGCTGTTTGTAAAACACTGGGGGCATTGCCCATAGTAATTTATTACCTTCTGATTAGAAAGATCATAAATCAATTGCCGGAACAACATGAAGACAGCCATTGACATCTCCAAACCAACTCCTTGAATCATCGAATGTTTCGAGCAGTTTTTTTTTCAACCGTTTGTGGCTTGAGTACAACATGCCATTTCTAGTTGAACTATATTATATATTGATCTTGGATAGATGATAAATTATTCTTCAAGTGAACTCGGTCTAAGACATTTTGGAGAGCAAGAGAGCATACAATTGTCGATAAGTCCTTTACAAAAATGAAATGCGGGAACCAAGAAAGCCCTGGAGCGGTAACATCCAGAATAAAAAATGTTCTTCCGGAGAAAAGCTAACGATTCCATAATGAGCATCATTTATGTCTATAAAGTCGTTCGATCGACTCACCTTTTGGATCAGTAATAAAGTATGTGTGTTTTTTTCAAATTTGCGAGCGATCGGCTGTATGGTGGATAGCTAAGGTTATTAAAATCGAACGATTCCTTCAGAAGAGCTCTTATTCTATTATAAAGACATAAAAAAGGCACTACATTTCTTACTGTCATCGATTGAAATATCGAAGAACGATCAAAATATGTTTTCAATTTGATTTATTTGAACATCGATCTTTTAACATCGGCATATTATTATCATAGCGCTTAATATCGTGATTTCTCTTCGTGTTCAATGAATCTTAACAGAATTTTCAAAAACATTTATGCAATCGCAGCAAATTACTTCACTTCCTTCCAATGAACACAATAGCGGCTTCAGGTGACACGAAGACTTTGCTCGAATCAACTTTTCTTCTGTAAAATGAAAAGAAAATAATGTAATTGAAATAAAGAAAATAATTTCGACGGAAAATAAATGTTGAGTTTCCCTTTTAAAATGTTTCTTCAGAAAAAAATCGCTTACCCTGGAAGAATTGGGTGAGGAAGTATATTCGATGTTGCATGAACTGAAGCAGTGACTACTTCCAATTTTGATGGCAAATTGTCGAGATGGTCATTCAAATTAACGTTCTTCTTGTTGAGGCCCAAATTCAAGACAACCACAACAATATCGGCATCTGGTTGATCTTCGATCACTCGTTGGTACACGAATAACTCTTCATCGACAATGCTCAGTTTCAATGCCCCGTATTTCATCGTTGGATTTCGTCTGGAAAAAACGATGAAATTTGTTTACGGACGATGAAATTTGGCTGAGAACCATTATTTGTAGTGAATTGATTACAATAAAGCCATTGAATACATACAACTAACATAATATCTGTTTCTAGGCGTTATATCCTTATTGGCCTCAGCTATTTCGAATTTGTGACTCATTTTTCAAGAAAAATTCGTAGCCTCTTTGAATTTGTGGCAAGTATTTCAATGCTTTCCATAGAAAATCTGTCACAAATTCAAAGAGGCTACAAATTTTTCTTGGGAAATGAGTCACAAATTTGAAATAGCTGCAGCTAATTAGGAGATAACGCTTAGAAACAGATATTATGTTGGCTGTATGTATTCACTGCAATAAACACAAACCTCAACGCCATTATTTGACGGAATACATTCAAGTGGCTGCGTTTCGCTTTGGTTTGCAACGCAACGTTACATTTGGTATAATTCGAAGCGACTGGCAACCAAGTTTTGTTGGCTGTACTGAAGCCAGAATTTTTGGTATCGTCCCACTGGAATGGGGAACGTTCGGGATCACGTGTGAAATAAATGTAGCGCTCCGGATCGGTACGACATGCTTGTGGATCGACGGTTTCTTCCCATGTTATAAAAACGTTTGTCATTCCAATTTCTTCACCCTGGAAAAAAGATTTAGGATTTTGAATTCATCGGATTTTCATTCGAAAATGAAAATTGAGAAATTTGGTGAGAGTGGCAGCCTGGCTAGTAGCAAAATTTCGAAAACCAGATATTCAAATAGATTTTTCCAATCTTTTTTTGATCACGTGATGTATTCCGGAAACAAAATTCATGATAACTCAAGAGTCTTGAGTCAAGACTAAAGAGTAAAAGCTCGAAACTGCACCGAATGGTCAAAAACATATCCAGACTGTTCAAAATATCCGACAGAAAAAAGAATGATAAAAAATCCACTCACGTAGTAAGTGACTGCGATTCCAGGCAACGTTTTCAGCAAAATGTTGAACAAATCAACTCGTGATGGATTGTACTTTGATGCAATTCTTCCGTTGTCATGATTTCCCATCTGCAAAAATTCAATGAGAATGTTCATTATGTTAAAAAATAATGTTTCATATGAATTGAGGCAAAGCTTTGAATTCATTGAATTTGAAACTTTCAGGAAAAAAATTGAAAATAATGAAAATAATTTTTTTCTATAAGGAATTGGTGAAATTGAAGAAATTTGGAAGAAAAATTAAGAGAGGAGAGGAAAAGAGAAAGAAAAAGGGAGCAATTTGAGGAAAAATTGAAGAATTTCAAAAAAAAAAGAAAAAAAAATGAAGCCAGCATACTAACCACCCAGTTTGCTTGAATTTTGTTGCCTTTTGGCAAGGCATTGAACCAATCATCAATTTGGAATTTGTAACCCCATGTGCCAGTTCCGCTCCATGTGTTGCTAAAAAAAAGAAAGCATTTGATATTGATGAATATTGAAAAATTTGTCTCAAGTTGGCGGTCAAAACATAAAAAGGTATTATGCACTATCTCACCTTAGCAATAGGAAATTGAATGGCATTTGAGCTCCGTATTGGTCGTCAACAATTGATCCATTTTCGATTTTACCAAAGTATCTCATTACTAATGGCAAATCTGTATATCCCTCTGTCATCAAAAGTCTTTTGTTGAAAGAGAAAAAAATGGAAAAGCAGAATTAGAATACGAGTAAGAATTATTCAGTGACAGAGAATAGAAAAGCACACAAAAAGGTACGAAAGAGCTTAAATTCCGAACAAAAGTTCATCTACTTCAGGGAATTTCAAGTTTTGTATCACATTGTGTCACAATAGGCATCGTATGAGTATAACTTGTCCCTTAACACCAAACGTCATGATTTCCCTTTAAAAGAGAGCCCGTTCCAACTAACCTAGTATAATTGGAGAATTCCTTTTCGTCCACAACACGTCGCCATTGATAGATCATGTCATAAGTTTCGTCCAAATCTTTAGTTTCCGTATGTTTAAGACTGCACGAAGCTTCTGGGTCATCTTCACAGATACCTATAAAATAAATAAATGTATACGACGTTTTAGTTCAGTTGTTCAAATTAACTTTATTTTTCATTACATACCACTCTTGGGTTCATCATCATAATAACCTTCAGCGTTTTGTTTCGATTCAAAAATGAATGGTACAGCATCGATTCTGAATCCATCGACTCCTTTTCTTAACCAGAATCGCAAAACCTCTTTCATTTCGTCGACGAGTTCTTGGTTTCTAAAGTTCTTTGGTTGCAAAAGTGAAAACAAAATAAACATTATTCCATGAACATCGTTTACTTGTTGATATTTCAACTTCTGCAATGATATTTCCTTACCAAATCGGGCTGTTCTTCTAAGAATTGATGCAAATAATAGGCTTGCAAATCGTCAACCCACTGCCAAGCGCTGCCACGGAAAATACTAAGCCAGTTACTGGGTGGTACTCTGGTTCCATTCTCTAGCAATTTACCCTCGTGCCAAATGTAATATTCCTTATATTTTGCATGTTCTGGATCGCTTTTGTTCAGTGCCTTTTTGAACCATTCATGCTGATCAGAGCTATGATTGGGCACAAAGTCCAACACTAATTTAATGTCGAGCTCTTTGGCGCGGGCAACTAAACGCTCAAAATCTTCCATTGTTCCGTATTCGGGTTGAATCGCTCGAAAATCGGAGATGTCATAGCCGAAATCTTTCATTGGACTTTGGAAGATTGGAGAAAGCCATGTGCCAGTAACGCCAATCGATTTGAGATAATCCAAACGCGCGGTGATTCCATTGATATCGCCGACTCCATCGCCGTCACTGTCTTGGAATGAACGCGGATAAATTTGATAGAAATGACCATATTCCCACCAATCGTCTTCGGCCAACACATTGCCAGCAATCGAACAGATCGCCAACATAAATATCGCCAACTTTTTCACCATTCTATTTGATGCACTCACTTATCGAGTTTGAAAAATTATTTTTCAAGTTTTGGAATACTGAATTTGAAACGAATTTTAACGCGGAAAAATTATCTCTATTCAAGACTGTCACAGAAGTCTTTCCTGAAACTAATCGATTGATATCTAGAGGTAACTGGATTCAAACAAACGACATTACACCTATATTTATAGTGGGCAAGAGTGCTTCTGGAAAAGGTCATAAAGCGATTGTTTTTGTCTTCGATAGATGCATCTACTTTAATATGCCACATAAAGATAAGACTATCTACAGACTTTCGTCGCCCATTTCCATAAAATCATCTTCAATTGAAGACAAATTGCACATCATTTTCTTCTTCTTTTTTTTCTCTCGAAATAATCAATATTTAATAAAGAAACAATCAATTAAATGCAATTTCATTGAGTATGAATAGTTTATCAAGACAATAAACCGATCAAGAGTAATTTGTGTGCATTGCTCGTTCGTAGAGTAGCTCTTAACCGTAAATATATCCCGTGAATACATCGTGAATAATACGTCACATTAACCGTTCTGATAGCGAGTAAAACCACACGACTAACTGAAATAAAAGTTCCATTTTTTGCAATCACGAATTGCAAGGTAATCTCTTGACTTGGGCCATAAATTTATTCTAAAGCGATCTATATATCAGTGCGTATAAGTAGCCAGCTTGAGGTGCTTACACCACTTGAAAATCAATCAGTAAGCTCGTCAACTTATCGAACAAATTGGCCTTGATTTCTATGACGAACCATATGAATAGCTGACGTTGACGTAAATAAATTAATTGATAAATTCATATTTTTAGCTGGTTAAAAATTTTGCACAAAAATTATAGAAAAAGATACGATGGAAACATTTCTATTCCAAAATGAAACACTTTAATCAATTTTACAGGTGGAAAATTTTTGTGCGCAGACAAATCGTTTTGGATTTATTAGTATGTATTTGATCGAATTCAATCATCTTCAACTATGCTCAGGTCTAGGTATTCGTTTACTGCTTTGAAAATATAACATTAAAACTAGCCATAAGAATGGTTGACATTGCGTATTAGAATGGAGCTTATAGGATGAGTTATGCCACTTGACATAAGTCATAAGTATAAAGATACCAACAATGTTGGTCCAAATTCTAATCTCCCCTTCTGGCATTTTTCTACGCTTTCCAAACAGGTATTTAACTTATTCTTCAACAAAACCATTGTGAAAAATAGCGATGCAATAAACCAGTCAATCCGATTTATATTGTACAATTGGAGGCGTGTTACCGTCATGTGATTGATGTGCAATTATTGCACTTCAAAAACGATCAAAGAGTTTGTTGTTTACATTGTGTTGTCGTTAGTCAGTACTTTACGAAAATATAAGAAAATTTGATTGTGAATTGAGAAAATGTAACCAAATTCAAGAAACAACAAAACACAAATCGTTAATTAAGTGAAAGAATTTACAATTTAAGCAAGATCACCTTTTATTTATCAAAAAGAATTTTTTCTATTTTCCAGAGATAAAAAAAATTACTTTGCACTCGTCTCGAAATGTAAACATATGGGGTATGCATGTTAACTTTAAAAAGAACGTGCTCCATGACCGTATCTCCAATCTTCAAATGCCAATTTGATTTTATGTAACATCATGCATGACCTTCAAAAAAAAACTTCGTGCTCTAATTTCATTCCAATTAATCACTACTTGAGTTTGAAATTAGATATTATCGTCACTATTAACGACATAAAAAACTGAATGTAAACAACAGAATGAAAACAACAAACTCTTTGATCGTTTTTGAAGTGCAATAATTGCACATCAATAACATGACGGTAACACGCCTCCAATTGTACAATATAAATCGGATTGACTGGTTTGCATCGCTATTTTTCACAATGGTTTTGTTGAAGAATAAGTTAAATACCTGTTTGGAAAGCGTAGAAAAATGCCAGAAGAGGAGATTAGAATTTGGACCAACATTATTGGTATCTTTATACTGATGACTTATGTCGAGCCACTCGCAAATGAGAAAAGAATTTGAATGTATCAAATATGATAAGAATACTATAATAGTCCATAAGCGTACACATGAAATAAATGATGAACTTTGAAAATTTCAGTAGAAGTCTCGATTTGTTTTCAATCCTTGAATACTCCGTTCATTTCATTGTTTTTACCGCGTAGTCTAGAGTGAACCGAATTCTTATTTTCATCGCTTCTCGGCCTAAAGGCTAAGATCAAAGTGTAGTATAAAAGTTGGTACAAAACAAAAATTGAAAAAGAAAATATCAGCTCAAAAATGGAATATTTATTGCACGTTTCCACTTGAAAGTGATCAGGATTCACTAACACGGTTCAAACCAGATTGAAATTTGGATTAATTCTTACGATTTACTCGGAACAATTTATTTACATTCTGTCAAAAGAACTAATTGGATTTTTAATGTGGACCGCTTGTGGCTTAGGTTTCGGGTAGAACATTCTTCCGCTGGATTTCTTCAACAAATATTCGATTTGGATGTGATGTCTCTCGATGGTTACCTACGAGATATCACTCATTCAGATCGCGTTTCATATTCAGCACGTTTGGGGTTTGGGGTTGCACAAATCCAGGAGAAAACCATTCAATACCATGAACAATTGAAAAATTTTGAGCTGTTTTTTTCCTGAAAACCGATGTTCCAACAAAGTAACAACATCGGCATGGTTGAATTTATGGCAATTTATTTAAAATATGGCACTACAATTGAATACGGGAACTGAAAGAAATCATCCGATTATTCAGCTATTCGCCACCTGAAAAATACACATCGATCAAAAAAATTAAACCAATTTCCTATTGAGTAAAAATAAATGCACAACATTACCATTGTTGGCAGCATATTGAATCTATTCCAATTGCTCTTCCATATTAATTTTCTTTCCTTTACCGACAAAAAGTTTGACGACATCATCGTTGCCTGAGTAATAATAACACAGATCAATGGAAAAGATCAAAGCGATTTCTTATTTAGTCATTGGCCCTACCATTCTGAGCAGCATATTGAAGAGGTACACGATTCGCATTATTTTTAATACCAGTATTGGCTCCTTTATCGATGAGAAGCTTAGCGATACTTTTGTAACCTGAAAATTAGTTTAAATTGATGAAAAATATCCAGCTAATTTCCTATTTAGGGAAAACACGTATTCAACATTACCATACTCAGCAGCATAATGAAGAGGTGTATTTCCCAAATTATTTTTACTATCAAGTTTGGCCCCTTTGCCGATGAGAAGTTTAGCAATATCTTTGTGCCCTGAAAAATATTTCAAATCGATGAATAAGATCAAATCAATCTATTATTTTTACACAAGCAACGAAGTGGTTAACGCTCTGCGAACAGTGCCTTCGTTTCTTTTTTCAATTTTTCAAACCATTACATTGTGCTACGAAATTGTGTGTTTGTCTGAATTCTTTTTTCGAACCACAGTACATTTGCTACTGAAAATGGGAATAGTATGCCCGAAGATTCGCCATAAATTTATCATATTTAATTTTTAAATATGGATTATCAGTTAAAAATGTGCCTACTGTTATTCGAAAAGAAAATTCAGTCAACACACGCACACAGTCTCATAGCTTATTACAATGTATTTTAATCATGATAATAATAGCGAAATATTCAAAATTACCTTTAAAAGCAGCTATATGAAGAGGTGTCGATTTCATATTATTTTCACTATCAAAAATGGCTCCTTCAGCGATGAGCTTTTTTGCTTCCTTCAAATTACCTAAAAAATAATAAAGATTAATAAAACGGATTGAACAAGACATTCTTCTAAAACATAAATGTCCAAAATTACCAGTATCAGCAGCAAAATGCAGAGCTGTATTTCCTTGTTCGTCTCTTGCGTGTACTATAGGTTGAAAAAATTATAGATCAGTGAAGTGAATCGAACGAAAATGCATTTTTTTGTCGAAAATGATGGGGAAATGCATAGAATATATTCTATAGCATCCTGTATATGAGGCAATAATATTATACATTCGTTGCGTATGTGACATCTGATGTACGGCATCACCGTATTGGATTGAAGCAAGTGTGTATTTATTTCATATCTCCATACATCAAATGGTACTTTGTGTGATGAGAGTGAAAACTGTATAAATAAATGAAACTTCAATCTTACCGTCCCTTCCGGATGGTGCTCCACCCACATCGCCGATTAAGAACTGTGGAAATAGAACAAAGTGATACAATTGGAATGGGAAAAATGGATGAAGTTGGAATTGTTCTCAACTATTTTTCGTTCGAATAAAAGTTTCCGATGGACATCGTTCTTGGAATGGAAGATTTTTCCAACGAAATTAGTTGAGAAAAATGTATCTTAAATTTTCGACTGAAAGAATCAAATGCAAGAAATTCGATCCAAAATTTGCAAGAGAAAAAAGATGACTGAAATTGTCGACTCACCTCGCATACCGCCAAGCCAATGAGCAGCAGTGTGATAGAACTTCGACTCAGCATTTTTCTAGCTTCGAACTAACAAAAGTTTACTGTGAA